TAAGGAAAAAAAATAAAAAATAAAAAAAATTTTAAAAGAAGACATTACAGTCACATCTCACAAAGGACAGGAATGGAACTGTTCCCTAGCTCTGTGCGAGAACAGCTTTGTGAGACAATTCTTCAGAATTTCTCTAAGCCAGCCCTTGGCTGGGCTCCTAGGACCTCTACATGTCCAGAAGAATGGCTCAATCTGTTTTATTAAGATTTTGCCATTCCAATTAGTTGTATTAGAAAATCGTACTTAGCATTCCTAAACTCCAAAAGGCAACAACTTTTTGAGTGCTGACATGAAGTCACAAACAGAAAACTCCATACCATGAAACTTTGAAATTACTAGAAATATTGTAGAAAATTACCTCCAGTCCTTGTGTATAAGCTGTATATGAGATTATAAATGAATTCGGTGTTTAGATTTGGGTCTCAGCCCCAAGACATTTCATCATTTACATGCAAATATTCCCAAATCTGAAAAAGATTGGGAATCCAAAACACTCAGGTCCCAAGCATTTGTGATAAAGGGTAGAAAACCTGTAGTTGGGTTTTTTCTTATGCTATATCACTCAGTAGAGAAAGTATATGTTTATTGGATCTCACAATATTGAAATTTTATGTTTTTGTGATACTTTTGTGTTACTTTTTCTTTTTCCTACAGATACTTGGGAGCCCACAACGCCTCTGTGACCTAGCAGGGCCCAGCTCCACAGAGCCAGAACCCAGGAAAAGATCAGTTTCAAAAAGGAAGTCTCACCTGGATCTTCTCAAACTGTATGATACATTTTTCTTTTAGGTCTATAGTGCTTGGTAAACAACTGCTTCTCTGAATACTTTTCATCTTATTTTCCAAATCCTGAAATTTTTGTGAATCTACAGTAAATGTAACATGCATATTTAGTAATTTACTCACAAGCCATATGAAGAGACTAATCTCTATTTATTATAGTCATATAACTTTCCATATTTTCATATGACTGAAAAACCTAAGTATACAAAATGAAATGTCCAAATTTTATTCATTGGCGTTTTTTCAGGGAAGAGCTTTGTGATTCACAGTATAGCTGTAGGAGTCCTTCACATGCAGTCTCCTCGGAACACTGAATTTTATATAATTTCTAATAGTTGTGTTGCCTTCCATCCATTCAGGCAGTATTACTTATTTAGAGAGGAAGTTGCATGCCGGGTAGGTGTGCACATGTGTGATCCCACCACTGGGGAGGCTGAGGCAGGAGGATTGTCACATGTTCGAGGCCAGCCTGGGCTACATAGGGAGTTCAAGGCCAGCCTGGGCTGTGCAGCGAGACCCTGTCTCAAAAATAAATAAATAGGAGGTTGCATGTTATCCTACAGCCATTGTAACTGTTTTCTACTTGAGAAACTAAGCATGATGACAAATGTGAGATTTCCCAGTGCCTGTCTTTGGGAAAATTATAAGCTCTTTTCAGGAATTTGCATTGGTACCCAATAAACCAGCCAACCAAGAAGGCCTGTGATTGAAGCTGGGCCACTTTACCTGGAGGTTTTCCCAGCCCAAGCGTGTTTGTTTCATTTATTTATTGCCCAGACCATTTGATTTTATGCCAATGAGACAGTTCTTGTTTACTTGGGAGCATCTTTCTCTCTCTCTCTCTCCCCCCTCCCCCTCCCTCCCTCCCTCTCCCTCTCCCTCTCCCTCACCC